AAAGAAAAAGGTGAAAAAGGTATGCTATTTCATTTCAGCCTTGACTTTTATTTGATATAAACACATTTACACAATTTTAATTTAATAGATTTTTAATAGGTTTCACAACTGTCATGACAACATCAAACCAATATCTAAGAACTGGAGGTTTAAGAATCAAAAATATTCTGGCCTTTTCATTTCTAAATTTCCTTTTAAAATTGCTTAATTGAGCAGGGGAAAAGTATTTTGGGCTTATGTTTATTAATGTATTTATCTTTCTGTCTATTGACATGAGCAATTCTTTGAAGTCCCTGCAATACTTGGCTCTTTTTTGTTCATCTCCTTTCACATGATTGCCATTATATCGGCCGTCTCACATAAGAGAAGGAAAAATGGTCCATCTTTCCACGCACGGACGTGTTCATTTTCTAAAACCCAAATCTGGCCTAGTCAAAGCCTTTTCTAATCAAGTCTTAGAGAAAAGCTATTCTATTATCATCATTTTGCCGGAAACCTTAGATCTGGAGTTGTACTGCAGGGGACTGATTGTTTTCGAGTGGAGTTGCTTGTAAGAAAAATATAGCCCTCCAGTTTCTTAGTTTTGTCAATACAGCCTGTGCAGAGGCTCACATTATCTTCCTTTCTATGGTTGCAGACCTCAAAGGCTAAATACAAAACAGAGGCCAACTGAATGAGCTATTGTTTCCTGTGAACCCATCTTCATAAAACCACGTCTTGTTGTGCAGGTTACCTGTATCTTCTGATCTTCATCTGTGCTGGTGCAGCTGCCTTGATCCTCCTCAGCCTTTTCGGCTACTTCTGCTATTTGAAATGCATTTGTGAGTATTCCCCTCCTTGTTACTCTATGAATGTGACAGTTTATCACAATAATAAAACTTCAAACTTGATTGTGGTACAAGAAATTTTCTCTATACCATTTTCAGTAACATTTCTGAAGGCACAAGGTTTGTTCTTGTAGAAAGAAAAAATATTAACAACATGACAATGTTTGTTTCCAAAGTGTAAGACTTGCTGCAGCTTGAGAGAATTTTAGTGGTTACAGCTGAAAGAAGTGTGACTATTTGGGCAAATGTGAATGGGTCAGTTTGTATTAATGTTGAAGTCAGTGGCGCAAAAAGTGGGCATGCAGCGCATGCAACGCATAGGGACGCTGCACAAGAGTTGTAGTAGTCCAAACCCCGTATGGAGGGGGCAGCGCGTTGATGATGTATTCTCATACACTTCAGCGCGCCCTTACGCTCCTTCACCTCGCGCACATAGCGAGGTAAATGTAGCGAGTTTTACCTTTCATGTCTCGTCGTCTCGAAGGAGGGTGGGGGGTGGCGCCGATTTATGTTTTTGCATCCACCTGAATAATATGTAGTTGCGCCCCTGGTTGAAGTACATATAGTTATTGAATAAATTATTTTGACAACCCAAATAACTAACGTTACTGTAAATTCATTTTTTAGAATAGGAAAGAAATATTGGATATTTAGCGCATCTCTTTACATTACTTTTTTTTTCTTTTTCAGGCCTTTCCAACAAAAGTAGGCCTGATGATGTGATCGTTACAGTCAGTGGAACTGCAGGTATGTATGTGGTAAGATCACAAAAGTTTAATCCCAAAAGAAACTTGAAGGTTCTGCTTAGTGTTTTGAAGTTTTAAAACACATGAAGTTAAAAATCAAAATCATTCAGATTTTCTTCAATATTAATTTCATGGACTTTTTGTTTTGAATTAATATATGACTGCAATAGCAAGAAATATTAAACCAATTAGTAAAGCAAATAAATATTAAGGAGGTACAATTCACATAAATCACAAGTATTTTCATCCATCAAGGAAGTCTGCTGACATAGGGTTGTCCGAATTTCATGCTGAACTGGACAAAAAATTAAAGCTGAAATGTTTTCCACACCATAAGAAATAGAACACAGTTAATGTAAAATAACACATTAACTTTCTGTTTATACATCAAAGACAAGGTACTACGGTCATTCACAGTCTATTTTTACAAAAGAAAAAAATAATTATTTCATTTAAAAAAAAAAACTAAATAGTAATAATTATTATTTGGTGAGCTAGACGTACTTTACACTTGTCAATTTGGCCTCCCATTTCACGAGTTTGTTGCACAGGATAATTTTCTTCTGCAAGCTAGAGAAGGCAAAATGGTAAACAGTTTTCTAATCGGAGCCGCAAAGTTCATAACACCTACTAAAGGATGTAATAGAAAAACTTTGAATTTCTTCAATAAAATGGAATCAATTGAGAACATATTTTTCACATCAGGCAAAAAGTAATGTTCATAGCATAAGAATGTTGTAATTTGTTTGGGGTGACAAATTGCAGAAGCTCTGCGATGTATCTTATCTTGTACATTTTTCAGTTATCAGTTGTGGGAGTCATGATATTTGTGTACACATTTCAAGCATCGATAGATATATCCAAAGCTGCTCATTCATAGTATGGCTAATTTGAAAAAAGACTGTAAAATGTTGCTGTCTTCTTTCTCTTAGATAAAAATATTATTTTATCAGTCTAAATAAAGCTGGAAATTGGAGCCACAGATAGGCAATAAGGACCTTATTGATTATCTTAAGCTTCCTTATAATTACAGTGGATGATGATCTTACCAGATTTATAACACCCAAATAGTTGAGAATGTAAATAGAAAAAATAAATGTTATTTATTTTTTTTAATTGGAATGAAAGGAGAGGGACAGAATGGGTATATTTTCCCTATTTTCCCAGTTTCTGACATTTTAAAATATTATGTTTATCTTCTAATAATATAAATTCCTCTGTGATATAATGTGTTACTGCAGGTCCCAGTGCTCCACCACAGGAAGGCAGCGTAAACGGACTTCCAGCAGGTAACACTGAACACAAACACATAGTGACATTACATTATCTGTCTAGTCATTTGAACAGCATCTAAATAGAAATGGCAGTGTAATTATGTTGTGAAAATACTGAGAAAGTACAAGCCTCACTACATCTGTGTGCTTCCCTTACCAGGAGTCAATAATCTTGACAATAATCTTGTTTATGGTGAGTTCACACGTATTTCCTTCTTTCTTTATTCAGTTTCTGTTTTATATATTTAGCCATATATCTGAGAAAGCCTCTGCACCTACAACCTGAACAACTAGGTGACAATGTTTTCCTTTTGTTTATCATAAACAACAGAAAATGATGACCAGTACTTAAACCCATCCAGAAATCCAAGTGACCAACCAGGAGCTGCGCAGCACCAGGTTGGGAATCAGCCTGGTCAGAGTGGGATTGGAATTTATCCAAATCTGGAAGAGATCAGGTTTCAAAGAGAGGAAAGTCAGAGGACAAAGCAGAGATTTCATTTAGGTATTTTATTATTGTCACTTTTTATAGCATTAATGACCTCTAAATTAATCTGCGATGGAGTAAATGTCTCCTCTCTCTTCAGAGCTCTTCAGCAGGTTACGACAAGCCAGTATAAATCGCCATTTTTATGGTAATGCTAAAATGTGTAATCATATTTTCTCCTTTTGCTTCTGTCAGGTGAGTTACTTATCTGTTTTCCTTCACAGCAAACCAGGGAGAGATCCGTAAGCAGCAAGCCATGGCAGCACAAGCAGAGAATAACAGAGGTACCCAGGGTTTCTAACAACATCTTATTTGATCATCTATATAATTACAATTCCGTATTGGTGTGAAAACACAATGCGGAACATGTTAGCTCATCTGTTTGTTTGTTTTTTTGTATTTGTCTGGTTGTACAGCAGGGAGGGGCAGGAGGAAACCCAAAGACTGTGAGTTCTGACTTCGTCTGTGGATCATGTTAGCGATGAAATGATTGCATGCACTGATCTGCTCTCCCACTTTTTCCACCCCTCCTCAGCGTGTGAATACAAAAACCCCATTTACAACAGGAGCACAGACCAACTGAACCGACTGTAGACGATTCAGCAGTCTGCTTTTTGTTTTTTTTGTTTACACTGATGGTTATTTACTAATGATGTTGTTTGTAAGTCTATCTGCAATGTATTTTTCTGTATCTTCTATCTTTAAAGCTTTTTCATAATAAAACAAATACATAAATCGTAAATAAAAACTTTCTCTAAACTATCCTTTATCTCGTGAAAGAATGGAGATGTAAAATAACACCTGGCTTTCAGATTAATGGAGTTTAGACAGTGGTTGAAAAAAATCGAGGTTTATTTTTTGTCCATCTAATTGGAACAGGGTTATGTGAAAGGGTAAGAATGAAAAATCACAACCTGTCTAACATGAATATTTTGGTGAGAATGTAAATGAGTCTTTACAGTAAGTCACAACAAAGACTGTCCTCGTGTTTAAATATTTGAAGCTTGTCGGCTCCTGTGTCAGATATACAGTTCTTCCTGAAAGACCTGTAAGTGAAGTAGTTCAACCGTAGCTTTGTACTATTTGAAGCTACACCACAAGGTGCAGTGTCCTCTTGCTCCTGGCTGTTTTTAAAGAGGTAAGAGAGGAATCTGAAGCAGCGGACCTCTGATAATCGTGGCTAGGCAACCCAAAACACGTAGAACACAATTTCATTACCAGATCATGGCTTTGCACTTTGCTATACAAAAGACTTTTTGTTCACCGTGTAAACGAGTCCAGCACAGACTGTGCCTGTCATACATGTTCTATGCGGTCTGTGGTATATCATCATAATCTAATTTAAAATAGCAAACATTTCAGTGAATGAGCTATGGAATATATTTACAAATAATATGATCATTAACTAAGTGCAAAAGAAAAGCACAGGGCTTTCCACCTGTGTAAGGTAACAGCATGTTGAGACCACTGCAAAATGATCAGTTCTCCGATTTTACTTTTTATAGATATATGATTGAGTAAAATGAACATTGTTCTTTTATTCTATGAACTACTGACAACATGTCTGTGAAATTCCAAGCAAAAATGTACCCTTTATTTGTAGAAAATGGTCAAAATAATGAAAAAGATGCAGTGCATTCAGACCGCAAATAATGCAAAGAAAACAAGTTCATATTCATTTAGAAACAATACTAATGTTTTAACTCTGAAAGAGTTCGGAAATCAATATTTGGTGGAATAACCATGAGGTTTTCAATGGGGTTCAGTACAGTGGTTTCTTATTTTTTTCCAGAGCTGTATTATCAATAAATCTGCTCTTGCTCTCCTGCTCCCCCTGGGGGCTCAAGGAGCGTCAAATGAACAGTGTACCCTTTTCAACAAGTGTGACTGTTAAATCTGAGCAGTCGTTACTCTTTTCATAAAAACTATTTTATGATTGTTTGCTTTTCTCTAGGCTTACAGGTAAACTGAATATAGATTTACATACTGTATTCCAATCAAGCCTATTAAAACTGGTGCACTTTAACACAAAACAAATTGTTTTAATGTATAATTTGATGTAAAGATACAGTTCAATACTTCTGTAGCTTTCAGACAATGAGAAGAAAATGCAGACTTGTATCTGCAGTCAGCTTGCTGTGGCAGAGATAAAAGTCTCTGGCTTCCTAAAGAGCTCTGACTTAGATTTCTCAGCAGAACTCCCTCTGGTATGTGTAGTGACTTTTGTCTCCTGGGACCAATTACATAAAGTTAATGAGAATCACCTGCTCCACCTGTCATGCAAATCCTCAGCAACATCAACAAAGGAAGACAAAAAAACACCCAATGAAGACCAACATCACAGACTTTATTTTGGTTGTGTTGGTCTCAGTCACTGCTTTATCTGAAACTCCAACATTTCACATTACTGCCACCAACAATACACTGATTTGTCATGACAACTTCATGTCTGTGTACATATCAAAGGAGGATTTTTTTTCCATCTTCCCTTCAGCATTTATGTGCTAGGTAAGTCAGACACTTTGATTGCATATACAGTGACACTTAGCCTTGAAGCGCTTGTGTTTTTTTTTTATGCACTTGTTTGTGTCACACAGATGAACAAGGCGGATATCACCAGGCTGTTGCTGTAGCGAGACGTTGTCACCATTTCCTAGGAGAAACAAAGTCCTTCATCGTCTTTACAGTAGCTTCCATTGGGTGTTTTGTGAAAAGACAAGTGAACTTGAAACAAAACTATTTGCATTGATTTACATTCATTTTTCCTTCAGGAAATAATTTTATTTTTAATTTTTTTTATTAATATACATCTAACAGAAATCTGTGATGAGTTTCAAAGTGGTTGTCATGGCACCTGCAGACAAAGGCCCACCGAAGATGACCCAGTCATCTAATCTGCAACAGGAACATGGAAGGTGCAAAGTGCAGTAAATGGTGTTTGCAAGATTTTCTTTGTTTACCCTTTCTTGAACAATTTTGATGACAAAAATATTTCTAGATCTATAGATCAGTTAAAAATACACATCGGTAATTGGAAATTGATTGAAAATAAATGCACATCACGCTTTTCAGAGTATTATTTGTAAAAGGAAAAATGTAAACATGTCTGTTAGCTTCACAAGTCTACACTATACTAATCAAAGTACACTGAGTTTTGTTTTTGTAAATTGACAAAATGTAAAAAGCCCGAAGTGTTTATATGCTTTGAAGACACCGCTTACAAATGACTGCCAGCATTCTTTCTGTAGAGCAGAGTACAGATCACTTTCCAAACATATCAAGGAAGGTTTTCTGCACCAAAATGTTTTCTGCACCATTCTAAGGAATGCAACAGTTCCACCTCTTAACCTGGATTCAGTCTGGATTTCTTCAGATCATAACCATAAATGTCTACACCATAAAAGGTCCACTGACTGTAACTTCCAGCTTCCCATTTACAGATTGTGGCACCCAGTCTATGGTAAGTATTAAGAAATTTACTTCCAGCCCCTAAATGAAAATTTGGAAGTTAATTTGAGTGAATTTGTCTCGTAGGTAGCAAATGAGAAAATCACCTACTCAGTCATCAAGAGCAAACAAAACTTTAAGACTGGAGTCATATTTCGTGACACTCTGTTCCAGTAAGTAGAAATAAGATACTTCGGTTTTGCTTTTCTATATATGCTTTTAATTAATTTTTCTTTTCTTGTTTTTTAGTCTAACTGTGCGGTGCAGCTTTTCACTGATTCAAATGATTCAACGTGGCATTGCAGTTCAGCAAAGCAAATTGCATTACCCATCAGCACTTAACAGTATGGGAATACTTGGGACTGAAATGAGGTTTACCAAAGGTCAAGGCTTTGGATGATCACCTCATTCAAGAGAGAGTAATTTAACAGGTTTTTGCAAAATGGATCCCAAAGTTCTGTCGCTACAGTTTAGGTGACTGTATGATGTTGAAGTGGAATCAAAATAGAGACAGTTCAACTCATTTAACAGCAAAGTATTTTACAAAGAAAATAAAACATCTTTATAGTCTGTCTAAAGTGATTTACATAAAACCTCTTGAATATAAAGGATTACAAATTTGTTTTGCACAGTTCTATGATTCAGTTTCCTTAGATAAAAAAAATAGAATAATTTCTTGACCTTACTTGTGCTACAGTTTTACTGCTTTTGGGAATCCTCTGTTGGTTTTGGTGCAGGCCTCACATGGATAATCTAATCAGCAGAACGCTTAAAATAATCACTGAGAGTGATGAAGATAAATTAATTTACAATAAGTTTTGATTATTCTTTTTCCTTCCGTACAGATTCCTCTTACAGATCATTTTATTCCACCAGCACTACCCCTATGATAATGGAGTTGGGTCTGCCGGTAACAGGAGAGAACAGCTTTCAGGAGAGAAGAACTCTTCTGTATCTGCTGTAAACATTCAGAAGGGGAACAATTAGTTTCTGTCCCGTTTGTTTCTATAGTCTCAGAAATTATTTAGTCACTGTTTTGAACTTTTGAAATTCACTGCATGATCATTTTTTTAAATCTATTTTGTTTTACTTTTCATGTTGTGTGTGTGTGTGTGTGTGCGCGCGTGTTTGTTTTTGTATGTCTGTATAGCAGAACATTCTAATAAAACTATCTTAGGGGGAGGGTATTTTTGTCTGGCGTATGAATTAAATTTGGGCATTTTAGCTTTTGTATTTTATTTTGGTAGGTACTTCCGTGTCATGTGATCAGAGAAGAACCAATGGCAGATTAGAATAGGTCGGTGTACGGAAGTGTTCGAGGTATCATCATGTCGTCTTTTCAACGCATGATTTAAAATGTTGGGAAGTTTTATTCCCCCTCGGAGCTTAGTTAGAAACTTTTATTTTGCTCGAGGAGTTTGAGGTCTATCCGTGTGTATTAGTTTGTTATTCGGTAGTTAAAGTTCCCGGTTATGTCCAAACAGACGAGATGGACACCCAAAGACTGCGAGCCGAAGCAGCTGCCAATATATCAGCACAAAAACAAGCTGATTCAGGCGGTCAGAAACAGCACTTTCCTCATAGTGACCGGAGAGACTGGAAGCGGGAAAACCACACAGCTCCCTCAGTACCTGCATCAGGCAGGTAAGATGCCGCTGGAACAAATAAACTCTATTTTACAGTGTTGGCGAAACTCCTTCTGTGAGGCTTCACTGCTCGAGTCCCCAGTGTTGCAGTCGGGGTCCAGCTCAGATAACCATTTATGGGGAACAGAATACCATTTCTGAATGAACCCTTAAAACAGGCCACTGTCATCAGGATAATGTACCTTTTAGCAAAGCTTAAATGAATTCCAACTAATGATATGAATGTGAGTTCATTTTACTCTTGTGATTTTCACAGTCACCAAATCTAAAATAAGGAGAACTTTTCTGGGGTTTAGTAGTTGGAACCAGTGCTTTCAAGAAGAAAACAATCATATATGACAAGTGTTTGCACTTTTGGGGATTAATAAAACTTCCAAAGTAAACAAATACAAGTCAATTATTTGTTTATAATTTATTTTCTTCCCTTATCTTAATGAGGAACTTTGTGCATGGAATAACGACTCAAAAATACTTTTTTAATATATATTTTTTTCTATAAATTTATGCAATAGAACAGCTCCCATGTTTATGAACTGTGCTTATTTTAATAGCTATGTTTTTGGTTAGTTTTATCAACATTTTTCTTTTATTTTTATATTATACTTTTTACTTTTAATTTCTCTGTGTGAGTAGGTTTTTATAAGGATGGTAAGATTGGCGTCACCCAGCCTCGTCGTGTGGCTGCCATCACCGTAGCTCAGAGGGTCGCTCAGGAGATGAACTGCACTCTGGGCAG